TTCAGACACATGTTGCCTATAAATCTGGGCTAATCTCTTCCTTTCCGTCCAGAACATGTATGTCATCATCAGACATGAACAAGACCAAGAGCAAAAGAGGAATAATGATTCTAACTGGGGCATGCTGACTTCCTCAGAATTGCCAAAATGTCTTTTATAGAGTAACGATCACTAAATGGTGAAAAAAACAAAACAAAACAAAGAAGACATAACTTTTAATTCAGATAGATATTTGAATTGGTACACTGAGAGGAAGTCCAGCTGAGAGAGCTACTCCAAGGTGTGGAATAAATTTAAATCTAATGTGAAAAACAGATTATATAAAAACCAAAGGAAACAGGAGAGAGTTCAGGCCTTGAAGCCAAGATGAATAACCAGTTTAAGGGATCACTCCACTGGAACTTTATGGCCCTCTCTCTGCTGGAATCAGTGTGGGAAAAACAATATGAATCAATTTGACTTACCAAGTTTCTTTAACAAATTTCTAAACTACAGCAAGGTAAGTGGAAAGTACCTCTCAGACTGAAAGGACACACTGATGAAAAACTGCTACTGATTTTCTTTGCGTTCAAATCAAAAGGAAACTGAAATGCACTAAAGTGCAGTGTGTCTGAGGTAAATATAATACTTTTTTTCTTGGAAAAAAAAAACCAAAGCAACAATTAAACATGCCACACGCCAATTATGTGTAATTGTCATGGATGTTGAGAGAACAGTCTGACTTTGATGGTGTTCTGGTTCTTCTCCAGAGAAGCATTTCCTTTACAGGACGGCTAAAGTCGACAGTGTATACATAATAAATCAAGTCTGTGAAATTCCTGTTTCATGTAGCTCCTTGTCGCAGGAGAGGTTATAAACAAAGATTATTAATGTGCCTCCATCCTGATGACGGTTAACACGCTGGCTCTGGCTCTCATCCGGAATTGTCAGAGGCTTGGGAACCAGCTTAAAAACATGTAATAAAAGTGAATAGAACTGCTGTGTTAGTCATCAGTATTTCCCTTATTTTTAAAGCATTTAGCTAACTGGATAAATACTGATATGAGGGCCAACTGATCTGTAGCATGGAATAAGATATAGAGTTACTACAGCCATCCAGCTTATTCAGTAATGACAGTAATTCTGCTTTTTTATCATAAACCACAAAAAAGGGTCTCCATACCTAAAATGTAATGGGTTTATGGAGCAGGCATTGTGGCTTTGGAAAAATACATTATGAGAAAAAACATAGTTGGCATAGCCAGCAATTACCAGCAGACCGACAGAAAAGAACAGAAACGAAAATCTTTATACAGATAAGCAATACTACTGTAAATAATGATCACAAACTGATCTCTGGGCAATTCATTGCGAAAACACGGCGGGCCTCAGCTCAGAAAGCATTGCCAAAGTGGAACAAACAGTTCACAGCTTATCATCATAATCAAATCCGTCACCGGGTTTAAGCAGAGTATTATGTTGCAATCACATGCATTTGAGATTTTAGTAGGTTTGGAACAGAAAACCTGCAACCTCTCTTTTTCTTTTTCTTTCTGTACATCTCATTTTGAGCCAAGCACATTTACCTCCATGGTGTGTAAAACCGTAAATAAAAACAATCTGTAAGCTGAAAAATGCTTTTATTATGGCAAATAAAGCCTTTAACAAAAACAAAATGATCTCTTTGAGAAAGAAGAGTCGAAAGGAAGAGGCCTGAGTTGGCACGGGTCTCTGGTGTCTCCTCTGCTTCCTTTCATGACATGATAAACAGCATGAAACCTTAAGCTCTGCACGCTGCTGCATAACAGACCACAGCATGGGTCTTTTTTGCAGTATATTCAAAATTTCTACAACAGATATATCAAAGAAGCAAGTAAGCAAATAATCAAAGATATTGAGATGCTTAACATGAACTGCTGGGTGACTAAAAACAATCAAGAAGGCTTCCATCTTCATTCCCATAGGAAAAGCAGTGAGTATTGTATATTTTAGGCTTTAAACAAACACCCAATAATAGTATCTCGGAAAAGCTTTCACCACCTTTCATTGTCTTCAGATTTTGTCACCTTAATAAAACAAACAATGTATATTCATACAGCTGAATAGAAGAGTATATTAAAGTGACGCAAGAATGTATGTGAATTGTTGAAACAATACAAAATAGATGCATCTTTTGGAGAGTCATTTGATCAGCTTTACAGGAACACTATAGAGACCAATCTAAAGTTTTTTAGCAGATCCTTTACCTATATTACCTTTCAGTTACTTCCAAACATCTTCCAATCAACTCTGACCAGCTCTCCTAGCCCAGCTAAATTAAAGCATCCCCAGAGCATGATGCTGCCACTACTATGCCACACCTGTTGTACAGTTAATTAAGGATTATGTGCACTTTTTTTATTCACCACACATAACATTTATTGAAGATCAAAAAGTTACTTTTTAGTGTCATTTGCAAGAGCACCATCTTTTGAAAAGTCTGTGTCCCCTCTGTAGTGTTTGGTTACTGTATGTCCAAATAAGAAAAACAGATTGGTGCAGTTCCTCCCATGTGACCTTGGTCACCTAACCTGGCAGTAGCCAGATTGATATGCGTAGATCTGAGTTTACTTCTATGTTATTAATCTGGGATGTTCAGTCTATCTGTGAAAAAGAGCAACAGTTAGTACAATAGTTCGAGCTGATTGGGGGATGTGCCAGCTAGTACCGGCCTTCCATTATACGCTTTCAGCCAATCATTGCAGGGTGATTCGTCTGCAGCTTCTTGAGTGTTTTCACACTTAAACTAGCGGAGTAAGCTGATAAATAAAACTTTTTCCAAATCCTGTCGGAAGAAAAGCACAGACATCTTTCCGATCTACAAATGCACAAAGTGCTTCACTTTGCTCCTTATTTCAACGAAAAATGTTGTGGGATTGAAAACTCAGATCTCGCGATCCAACTAGCATTGCAAGGTTAATCATCACAGTATGCCGTATGTTTGCTGTGTCTACTATACTATATGGGACTTCTCATAACTTCTTATTGTCACTTTCCATAAAGGCTAGACTTGTAAGAGCAAAACTTATAGTTTTAAATAATCTATTTAGCTCCTCCAGAGTAATTTATTGTAAGCATCTATTCTGATTGAATTCCATTACTGATGATCAAATTCCCTTGCTTGTTTGCTGAGGCAGATGATCCAGTTTTAGTTTGTAGTTATGCAATAGCATTTCTATTTCTGGGTTATAGATTTAGACTGTACTTTGTAAGATGTTTGCTATTTGCTATATATTCTCTAATAAACCTTCAAAACTTAAAAAAAACAACTAGTTTTATACTGACTCAGCTTGCCTCGGTTAATCAGGTGACTTCTGTAGATAATCATTTACACTGAGTATCATTTAGGCAAATCAGGGTAAATGTCACATTAAAATCATGCAATAGTTTTTAGGTTTTATTACTTCAATCATTTATACCATATATAATGTTTTCTACAATAATTTGCTTCTTTATGTGGGTATATAAAAATATGCCAAGACACAATAACCTTTATGGGTGTAATGGAAAAAAAATTGAACACTTTTAGGGGATACAGTACATCTGAGAGTAAACAATCAGAAATAGGACTTTGATAGGTTTCATAAATCTCCAATTATGAATACCATGAGTATAGATTGTATTATTTAAAATTTTAGTCTGCCAACTTAAATCATGCATAAAAAATGCCAAGTCACATTAGCTGTGATGCAGATTTATGCAGTAAGGAATTTCCAGATAGTGATGATCAAATTCGAGGCACCTCTTATAGGTATTGGTGCTCTGTTTTGGATCCTCTGATTAAAGATGCAGGGGATTGTTGGGTTAGTTTTTGTCTTCCACTGTGCAGGTGACCTACAATACACCCATTATCATGGCTTTAAGCTTAAGCAATTTTTCTTTTTTTAAATAAACTATGTGGGGAATTAACTTGTGGCTACAGCCAATAACCATAAACCAACATCATTATGTTAAGAGTGTATTTAAAATGGGAAGATCAAACAGGATGCCACTTAACCATGACTAGAGGGCATTTAAGTAATGCAAAAGAAAAAAAAAAAACTTTAAAAGTCAGTTTTTTGGATGAGATGCTGTACTAAAGAATCTGTGGTTTATTTAGCTCACAAAATGTTCCTTAAATGGGACTTGAGGATGTTGATTTGCTATAAATAAAGATCTTTGAAACTTGTTTGAAATACGCTTTCTAACTAAGTTTTATGATAGTGTTTCTGAGGCAAAAACACACATTCCTTTAACATAAATCACAATGAGTTTGTAAATAGAGTATCCCGTTCCATTTGACAATTCATCAGCCTCACCAAACAAGGTTAAAGCAACTACAAAAGTTTATAATCAAAGCAAAGCTTAAGAAGTGGTTTGGAGATGATACAGAAGCACTTGTGCAACTTTTTTTTGTTTTATTTAAAGGATTCATCTCTCTGAAAGGTTTATTTTTAAGCTTGAATGCTTGTTTGATTGTCTTGCTTTATACAAAATCCATACTGTTTGTCACATATGAGTCATTTGAAGCAGGAACTTTTCCATGAGGTCAGCGTGGTTCGAAATATTGCTTGAGAAAACAAATCTTTAAAATCAACAGTATGTTTTTATCATGCCTTTAAGGCTGTAAGCATTTAGGAAAGATTAATTTTAAACAAAATGTATCCACATTGCTTATATACTTTGTTTATACCATTATCACATTACATATATACATCCACCTATTTCCAAATATAAGTGTAGCAAAACTTAGGTTAATCAAAGGCAATGCATAAAAATGTGATTCTAACTGTTTGTGCAAACAGAAATCTAATTGTTTCACTAGAAACATTTACAAAGTAAGCAGAAATTTAAGAATTTTCTATTGTGCTCCTTGATGTGGAAATAATATCTGAATACTTTTATTTATGAAACACTATTCAGTTTAAATCACCATACATTCACCATACATTTTGAATCAACATCATGCATTTTTTTTGTAAGATAAATGTAACTTGTTGTACCTGTAACATGTTGTAACTTCTCCGGTTGACCTCACACAGGGGTACTTTGTGGTTGAAATGTTATTTTCAGAGCATTTCTCTCTGCAAAAGAAAAAAAGCATACAGTACATATCACTGCGGAACTAAGTTCAATGTTTTTTTTTGTTGCTTTTTTCCCCCCCTTTTTTATTTTAACTAAAAAGCATTTACCCATCACTGACATCCTCTTCCTGATAAGACCAAAGCAGCGCTCGTGAGAAACACATGCAGGTGAGGGTGAGCAGAAGTGGATTCCTGTGTGGTTTCAGCAGCATGACGTCGGTCTGTGGACGGTTCACGCGTGGAGTGACTGCTTCAACTCCAGCCGGCGAAGTTAGGAAGGAGGCAGGCAGACCCTCCCATCAACCCAGCTATGGTGAATTTCCGACAGACGACTTCAGATTGTTACCTACAATATGTTTTTTTTTTAAGTCATACCCAAAACTCCATATTAATTAATTTCAAATAAATATGCTTTAAAAATACCAGCGGACTGATATTGATTGGGTGCTGAGTTAACAAACACCGCTTTAAACTGAAAGTGAACTGTAGAGTAGAAATAAAAAAAAAAAAAAAAAAAAAAAAAAAAAACATAAAAGCGCGAGTAGGTCTAGTAGACGCTCGCGCACAAACACGCGCCCCGGTTACTGACGCGCATGATGAACTTTGCTGCCCTCACGCGGCGATAAATACAACAGCGACTACGTTATATTGCATAATGAGCTATACGATTTAAACACTGGGAAATGGTTGGGGTACGAAACAAGGTAAATATGAACTTTACAGTTGCTGTGAATTTAAAAATACAAGGCAGTTTTATTGTATGCACCATTCACACATGGCGAATAAAAATAGAAGAGGTAGAAGAGGGCAAAGGAATGCAAAAAAACAAAACAAGGAAAAAATGTAAAAAAAAAAAAAATACAGTGGATGACTGAGATCTTCATTAGCGTAAAAAAAGTATTTGAAAGTTCATTTCATAAAAAATATTATGACAGTTTCTATTTATTTATTTACCAATATGTAATGAATCTTTTTAATAACATTAAACAAGCTGCTTTGTTTGTAAGCCTTTTGGATCAAGGTTTAGCCCTTGCTATAGAAACTAAAGTTTTTGCATAAATTTAGGAAGAAACGTTGAAACTAAAACATAGCCTCTTCCTGTTTGGTTTAGGAGCAGGGGATAGAGATTCTGATTTCATCATTTAATTAAATTCAATAAACAAAACAAAAAACTTAATCATCCCTGTATGGAAATAAAAAGTTGTTGTGCCTTCTACTTCTATCTATCTATCTATCTATCTATCTATCTATCTATCTATCTATCTATCTATCTATCTATCTATCTATCTATCTATCTATCTATCTATCTATCTATCTATCTATCTATCTATCTATCTATCTATCTATCTATCTATCTATCTATCTATCTATCTATCTATGTGAAAAGAGATATATCTATATATATCAAATAACATATATATATATATATATATATATATATATATATATATATATATATATATATATATATATATATATATATATATATATATATATATATATATATATATATAAATGGAGCAGGAGTTTGATTTGCAGGGCGAGCATTTTGCACCTTTTATCAGCGTATCTGAGACTCTGCCACATGCGCTGCCTAGTGCAGGTAGCTGGAGTGAAGATCAGCTTCTCCAAGTCCAAAGCCATGATTCATGACTGAAAAAAGGTAGCCTGCCTTCCTCGGAGAGGGACGTACTACCTAGAGTGGAGGAGTTTAAGTTTCTTGAGGTTTTGCGCTGGTCTGTTGTGGTAAGGAGAGAGCTGAGCAAAGGTAAAGATCTCAGTTTAACAGTCAATACCTTCCCTTTCTTACCTATGATCATGGAATCTGGATCATGACAGAAAGAAAAAGATCCCAGATAAGCTAAAATTAGTTTTCTCCTGGCACCCCCATAGGTAGGGGGAGGAGCTCGGCCATCTGGGAGTGGCTTGAATTGAAGTACTGTTGCTTCTCCTCCACATTGAGCGGAGCCAGCTGAGGGTATTCTACAAAGGTGTTCCAGAAGAGAAGAGGCCAGGTCACGTAGGAAGGACTATGTCTCTTGGCTGGCATGGGGATGCCTCAGGCTTCTCCCAGTGGAGTTGGATGAGGTATATTCAGAGTTTAGGCTGAGACTGCTGCCCCCATGACCCGGTACTGGATAATTTAAGACAATTTGTATGATAACAGGACAATTTTCGATTAACAACTGAAGAAAGACGACTACATATTTTCAGGGATTTTACAAAAGCATTTAGATATGCATTTCAATATCAATGAAAACGACAAAACCTATAATATCTTGAGAAAACTGTTAACCACAAACATTAGGACTAAAAATTTGCAACTTCTTCCCTGATTGAATTTACCAGACAGAAAGGTTCCTGAAAATGAATCAAATCATTAAAGTAGATTTTTATTGTAAATACTGTCTTGGAAGGGATTTTTTGCTGTGATAAGATTCTATTTACCCCTCAAAAATGAATGACTAGTCTTTCATATAAGGAGCCCGCCCAAGGCGCCAAATGTGCTAGAATTGATGATCTCCTCTTCCAGAATTTCTAGTTATCTTATTTGACATCACAATCATCAAACAATAATTTATTTTATTGTATTGACTCCTTATCCTGAGATGCCTACTGTATTCCCATCGACTGGAAATGTAAATAGGCAACAGAAAAATTGTGCACTGGGGACAGTATGTCCGCAAGCAGCCTAAAAGGGATAGCTTAACAACTTTTCAAAATTAATGAATTAAACCAACTGTTTTACCATAAAATACAGCAATTAGAAAAATAGGAAGACCAGCTTATGAAAGAAATGCTTCAGAAAGCATTTTTTAAAGAATTAAATAAATGTCTTCCTCATTTATAGAAGTCAGAAGACAATTGATTTACACCAGCTAAATCATTACAAATAAAGCGAAGCAGTGCGTTGAAAGAGTATTGCAGTCTTTGTAGATGAATGGAGTCTTTAGAAAAAATATTCCAATATACTACAATAGTACAATATTCTTATTCTGAATGCCATTAGCTCTGTACATTTCATTTTATCTTGCTGAAATGTAACCATTTGTGTGTCCACCTCATTAATTAAAGCAAACTTCATTTAAAGCTGCTTCTTTGGTCTGTAAGGGATGAACGGTTATCCTGACCCGAGTGTGGGCCTGTCAGAAGCACATGCCGTGTTTACCTGCAGGACACAAGGTTAGGGTGACATTACAGCAGACCCAGTGAATAGTCTGTAAAAGATATCCTCATGAAACAAAAGGACCTTGGTGTCGCTTACATCTACCGAGGGCAGTGAGGCATGATTAAACTCAATTCTGGACATTAGTAACACAACATTAGAAGGATCTATACAGGGGAAAGGTAACAAAATGGATCCAATTACAAGATATATATTCTCTAACACAGGGAATTGAACCTCTTGGAGAATCATTTGGTAGAAAATGACACCATGAGTCTGCTTCAAAGGGCCTACTGAAGCATGACCATTTTCAGTGTAAGAGAAAGCAGTGTTTCACTGGTCTGCTGGCTTTATTACAACAGCTTCTCTACTACTGCTGAGCACTGTGCCCCAGCTCTGCTCTGAAAAGATGCATTTCAGCTCCTGGCCACTTGATGGCCCTTTCGACCAACAGATCTCACCCCACCACCACCACCACCCCATCTTTCACCACTATCGTCATCATTGGCCACAAAATGGATGACAGCTTTTTTAGAAATACCAGCGTGCGTCACGACTGTGAGGTGCACTTGCTGTGCCGTTTATGTTCCACCTGTTCTGATGCCTCAGCAGCCCGAGAGGCAAAGACAGACCATGCCTGCAACAAACTGACTAATACTGTTGGACTCTGATTCTGCATCAAAGCGAAAGCAAGAAACTTATATCTTTTCCAACCAAAACATTTTCTGCTTATTAGATATTGTTGATAAGAGAAACAAAACATTTTTTCCGTGCTCCTTACTATTACTAAAGTATTACGCTTTTAGAGATGTCTTTAAAAGTGTAACAATATCTAAATAATTTGTAGAAAAAATATTTTTCAGACTTCTATTGTTCATTTAAACCATATTTTCCTTTACTTACCAGGTAAACACCTATTTGACATTAAGTGCACAGAGAAACAAACTACAAGACATTAAACAGTCCTAAATAGAATGAGAGGGATGGCGTTTTAAATAAGGAAAAATAACATTAGTCCATTATTTCTCTTGATTAAGAAATTGATTAAGATTTCCACATGTGTAGAAAGTTAACACCCAAGAAATGTGGAAATCACTTTAACCAAAAATCACTCAGCATATCCATTTGGCAAGGGAATAACCACAACAACACATGTTCTCATACACTGGCGAATTAGAATATGTGCCGTGAAAAATTATTCACTGTCTTGTGGGTTGCAGACATTGACATGAAGGCTTTCAAGCTTAATGGATTCCTCAATATGCAGGCCTGCAGGAGCAGACTACCCACAAATATGTTCATATATTCTTTAAATGATTTTGCACGCATGGGACAGCAATGAGAATTCTCCTCTGTCTCTCTCTTTTCACAGTGCAGCACTGCAGTGGCTCTCTGCACATGCTCAGACAGAGAGACTGAGGGACAGTCACAGAGAGTTGGCGAATATGAACAGCCTTCATCAAAGACAATGTTATGTTGCAACCAGGCTCTGAATCATGACAAACTTAAGAATAATAGGTAACAGTGCTGCTGACGTGGGCAGATTCATCCTTATGTGAATAAACATAGTCTTTTTATAGAGCCATTTCTGCTGTGTCAAGGTCACTCTGTCTCTCTCAAGCTCAGACAGACCAGAATGACTCTCTTTTGTGGAGCCTATAATATTCAGCATCACAGTGAGCTGTGGCAGTGTTTTCACTCTTATCTGGTACTCATTGTGGATTTCATTATGATCGCTGCTCTACTCTCTGTAAATAATATGCAATATTTTTCCTCTTAATGCATTAGAGTTTTTATTGTAATGACCAATGTTTCAGAGTAAATCTAGCAAGTGACTGTATTTTGGCACCTTGCAAAAGTATCGGTAACCTCCCTGAAACTTTTCACTTTTTCAATAAATATAGACAAATAAACTTTAATGTTTTATATTAAGATCTTTTGTGTTAGACTCACTTTAAATAAAATATTTTTGCAAAATGGAAGAAAAAGGGAGTGCAGACTATTTTGTTATACGTAAAAATCCGAACAAAGCTAAAGATGTTTTTTTCTGTTTCATTTATTATGGAACAAAAAAAAAATATTTTGGCCTATTGATGTCAGTTTGCATAACTTTGTATGAAATCTATCCGTTAGTGACTATTTGTCAGGATAAATGCAGCTGTGTGGTGATGGTTTTAGAGCCTTGTTAGAGAACATTGATGAAAAAATAGGAGAAA